TAGCTGAGGATCAGGCCCAAGGTCTTTCATGACACTAGAACGTCCTACCACGAGGTTTTCTTTGCTTTACATCTAGCTCTGTAATCAACAGGTTAATGCTAACTGCCAGGGTAAAACACACTTTACAGAATTCTCATTTGCTTACAACACATTCAGTAAATAAAACTTGGTTTCATTCACATTCACTTCTAAGGTGCATCATCCAGCGCCAACCAAAACACTCATGTTTGAAAAAGGAATCAGGATATCAGAATGCACACAGTACGACACCAAGTCTATGGAGACGTTAGTCACTTTTTGGACTTGAAAAACGGCGGCAGCTTCAGGAGGTTTGAATAACCTCCTGTGTTATTACTGACCTCCTCTCCTTCCTTTCACACTCCATGATCAAAATAACCTACTTTTCTCACACACTCACACACGTTTGTACCTTTTTGTCCTAGCTAATTGACTCATGGCTAATTTCCTTTCAAAAATTCTCAGACACACAAGCTTTAAAAAAAAAAAAAGTCATTCCCAAAGCCCATTTAGATTTAAAAGTACATGTTGTAATCGTTTTGCTAACTAGTCAGGAGAACAGGCTACAGTAAGCAGCAGTCATATCAGTTTAAGTTGAAGAGAAGCAGCTGCTACTGTGCATTAAACCAATTTCCAGGCCAATTCAAAATGAGGTAACTCAGTAGAGCGTCTTCCTTTTTCCTTCTACAGGAAATGTTAGAGACTGCTTAAAAAGGTTTTCTACATTTACCTTACGGGGGTAGTTCTCTATAATGGACAGAGGTTAACAGTAGAAACGTTTTTTGTTTTTTACAGAATACACCCGTTATTGGGAGGAAACCTCTTAAAATCTATTTCCATGTTTTCAACTCTCTCTAAATTAACAAAAAAAATCCAGGTTATACTTCCTAAATTGAATAAAATTGATAAATAGCAGCAGCTGTCGGTTATGGAGAGCTTAACGTTTTTAAAATGACAAAAAGCACACTTGTAACACAGGGCTTGTTTTCACTGCACTGTTAACTAGAGCTATAACTTGAGTGTTACCCAACAGACTCCACTGACCCCCAAAAGTCTTTAGCTTGAATTAAATGGTACTTTAAACATGAGCTAGCTGGCCCATCAGTGCAACGGGATGAAGCCCAGATTCTGCTGCCACTCGAGCCAGTAGCACAGTGGGTATGCAGTCCATTTGTGCTACTGATACAAGCACTGTGTGGAGCTCAAGAGTCATTTTGCAGTGTGAATGCGCTTTCTCCACTAGGCTAACACGACGCGAGAGGAGTTAACTCCAGTGCAGATACCTCAAGCTAAGCCTGCAGTGTAGACAAGTCCACGACCATGCTACATGACTCTTAAAGGATCTAGTCCTGGCGTCCACAGACCTTTCCATGTAAGCAGTATGGGAGGAGCCAGGCAGCTAAATTGCTATGTTCTCACTAGCTCTCAGTATCAAAGGAGAGAGGATAGCGCTTTCAAGGGTTGGAAATGGTAGGCATTCTGAAAGTATTAAATAGGAAAATAGGAAAGAGTTACATACATTAAACAAAAAACAAAACAAAAAAACCCAGAAAATAGGACTAGCTTAAAAACAAAGGCCCAGTTCTCCCAGGGTATGGAAATACTTTAGTTCAACTCCCCCAGTTCAAAATTGCCTTAAAACAAGTTTACTGGATCACATGAGGATACTCCCAGCTCAAGGGATCCCTAAGTGTTGGGGAACTACCACAGTAGCACCTATGCCACTCCCTCCTTGTGGAGTATGGTGAAAGTGGGTGTAGCTGGAGTGTCCTTGCATCCCAACAATATCTGGCTGACGTAATGGCCCCTTTGGGCTAAATCCTAATGGCCTAAGATACAAATTAGAGTGGTCTTCGGGCTGCTCTACCTTGTGCCTGGCACTCCACTGGAAAAAAGCTGCCCCAAGATCAAGCAACTGCAAGGTTGCTTAAAGCCACTTGCACGCACACTTTCTTGAACTGCATTAAGTGTTTTCTGGCCAGACACCAGGGCATGGTCCTAATAAAGAAACTAACCAAGGGTTATAATATAAAACAAAAAGTCAGACAAACATACAAAAACCCAGTAAACTGTTAGAAACAAGTAAACAAAAATGCAAATTGGCATGAGTTAAAAAATAAAGGCAGATAAGCATGGCTGGCTCCAGGGTTTTTGCCACCCCAAGTGGCAGGAAAAAAAAAAAGCAGCGATCGGCAGCAATTCAGCGATAGCTCCAACTTGCCACTTTCTTCTTTGGGGGCAGGTCCTTCCCTCCGAGAGGGACCATGGGATCCGCCGCCGAAGAGCCCGACGTGCCGCCCCTTCCCCTTGGCCGCCCCAAGCACCTGCTTGCTGAGCTGGTGCCTGGACCCGGCCCTGCAAATAAGTAAAGGTCAAAAAAATAAAACCTACAAGGATTAAGAAAAGGGAACGCTAGAACTGGAAGAGGAAGTCTTGGGTTGTATGCCTCCTCCCACCACCCTTTTCGGTATATATGTATTTTGTCTATTAAGATTTCAGCCCTGCAAGATGCTGAGTGAACTCAAAATATTGGTGAGCCCTTAAGGCCTGATCCTGGATATACTTACTATTAGGTATAGTGCTTATTTCCATGAGTGGCCCACTGATTTCAATAAGCATTATACTTAGTAGTAAGCATTTGCAGGATCAAACCCTTAGACAGTAACATCTGAACATTACATAATATTTACGCAATGCAACTAAGCTCATCTTTACTGGCGAGACAAGTATAAAACGATACTACAGTATGAGAAATATTTGAGAATAATGAATTAAGGAAGTGGAGGGAATAAAGGCAAGATCCTGAAAACCCTTGATCACTCACCGCTACTCTCATTTAAATCAGTGGGATCAGTTGCCCAAGGAAAGACTACTCATGTGAATAAGCGCTTGCAGATTCGGGCCCTGAGTGAGCTGCTGTTTGAGTTCTTTGGATTCTAGCTTAACAGAGTCGGAAAGCATTGCTTCTCTTGGGCCAGAGCTGTGATCCATGTTAGCATGGATCAAAAACACCACAGTTGACTGCAAAGGTTACCAGGGTTTTTGACTAGCTTTTTATGACTGCACAGCAGCACCTTTCTTTTGAGTGGAAACATAACATTTAACTTGTAAAGGAAATCTTTCTAAACTAGATTCTTGCCTCAAGTAATTTTAGTTCTTCACAATATCTTTGTCTCTAGGCTTTGGAGAGATGGAGTACCTAATTAGTTAGAAAGGAAATAAAAAAACCTTCAAGGAACTGTACAGTGGCAGGACAAGACTGATTCACAAGCAGAGAAACTGGAACATATGCTTTTTTTAAGTGTAAAAGCAAGTGCTACGTCTGACTTCCATTAGAAAAACTTCTATTCATTTCCCTTGCCCAAAATATAAGGAAGCCCATTTCATTTTTTTAAACCATACAGCAACATTTGGAAAGTTTTGTTTCCCTCCATTTAAAACAAAATAAATTAATAAAATATGATGGCAGCCCATCAACTAATGTGTTCAGCTGTGTGATGTTACAAAACATTTACAATAAAGGGAATGGATAATTGGATGATGTATTATTGTTAGCAGCCTGCTTTAAGATCTACTTTAAACATGAATAATAACTTAATAGCAGTGTAGCAGTAAAAGCAAATGTGACGGATGTTGGATGTCCTCTCTGCAGTGTGTCAATCCTGTGCCAGATGTATATTTTAATTTATTATTTGTATCATGATAGCACCACAAGGCCCCTGCTTAGGGAGCAGGGCCCCATTGTTCCAGGCACTGTACAAATATATATTAAAACATGGTCCCTGACATAAAGACCTTTTAATTTTAATCATAACCAACCCAGGGACATGTGCAGGACTTTAAATTTGACTGCTTCTGGAGAGGCACATTAAACACATACAAGTGAAAGGCTCATGTCAGACACACACACACACACACACACTCTCTCTCTCTCTCTCTCTCAGATTTCCCAGGACGCCTCTGGCGAGGAGGCAGCAGCACTCTATGTGTCCCTGCAGCCTGGGGAGGGAGGAAGCAACAGGACTGCTGGCTGAGCTCCTCCTCCTCCTCCCACCCCTACAGCTGCTGCTTCTCCTTCCCTGCTGCTGGAATCCCAGCACTGCCACCTGGTTTGCAGATCACCTGCTGAGGTGAGTCAGGGGATGGAGGCAGAGGCAACACCTGGGACTCCAGCAGCAAGGAAGGAAAAGCAGCAGCTGTACGGGTGAGGGGAGGAGGAGGAGCTCAGCCAGCAGCCGCTGTTTCTTCCCTCCCCAGGATGCAGGGACACGTGGAAAATTTGGGGTGGGGGGCCATGCCCCTGCTTGCCCACTCTTGTGCACACCCCTGTAACCAATTCTGTTTATTACAAAAATCATGATTATTTTTGTGTTAACTAGT